GACAATATTTTATTATGAATGAAATTCAATGTTTAATGATTTTGATATTTTTATGAATGTATGACCATGACACATTACTGTAATTAGTCAAAACACGTCGGAGTAAAGATAAATGAATGTTTAGCACATCATGCTCGTGATTACTCCGACGTGACATTTGGCACTTACGCTTTGCTTTCTTATGAGTTTATCTGAATTCTCGATATCAGTATAATTTATAGCATATCCGACATCTATAAACTCTTTATCAGAACAAGTCATAGTCAACTTGTTTTTATTGTATAAGTCTTTGAATGTTTCAAAGGACTCAAAATTATTTATTGTAAGCTCATCAAATCAATGTCGGGATTTAAAATTGTGGAGCATAAGCCTCCCCAAACCATCTTCAGGGCTTGGAAGTATCCGGCTTTGTTGCGTTTGGCTAGGTCATACCAACTTCAGGGTATGAAACACGTTTAGCCTTAGCAACGAGGACCGATTTATTGAGGTCCGAGTGATCGAACAAATTATAGCGGTTCGTCACACAAACTTTATTGACAACAAAAGGTGATTCTTGTACATGGGTAGGACAAAAGACTTTCATACATCGGAGACAAGGGTTCAGCCTTCAGGTTTACTGATAGTACTTTTTCAGATAAGTTGCGTGCCAAGGGTACTGAAGGGGAACACCATCTAGAGTTTCAAGTCGGTAGGTACCATTAGAAATCAGGCGGTTCACTTTGAAGGGTCCTTCCCACTTTGGTTGCAACGGACCGACATTGGCCACGGTAATTCTTTTCAACACGAGGTCTCCCACGACGAACGAGCGTGGCTTGAACTTTGAATTAATGTACTTTGCTACGTCGTTTGTAAGCAGCATTTCGAATTTCAGCGTGGGTCCGTAGTTCATCGACCAAATCGAGATTGGCTCTCAGGTTTATTGAGTTGGTTTCTTCGGAAAAATGAGTAATCCGATATGTTGGAGAAGTGAGTTCAACCGGTATCACAGCTTCAGTTCCGTATGCTAATGAGAACGGGGTTTCTCCAGTTGAGTTTCGCTTCGTCGTCCGATAGGCCCAAAGGACATGGGGCAGCTCATCAGGCCAAGATCCTTTTGCGGTCTCTAGTCGAGTTTTCAAGCCATTCTTAATGATCTTATTTACAGCTTCTATTCGCCCATTAGCTTGTGGATGATAAGGTGACGAGAAGAAATGCTTGATACCATAGTCTTCACAGAAGTCTTCAAATCTTTTCCCTTCGAACTGACGACCGTTGTCGGTTATAATAGAGTTCGGTATCCCAAACCGACAAACGATGGACTTCCAGACAAAATCAATCATTTTTAGTTCGGTGATGGTTGCAAGAGGTTCAGCCTCTATCCATTTGGTGAAGTAGTCGACAACCAATATCGTAAACAGGACACCTCCCTTTGCTGTCGGAAGTGGACCAATTAAATCAATTCCCCATTTTGCGAACAGCCATGGACTATATATTGACTTGAGGAGTTCAGGGTATTGGTTAACATTAGGAGCAAATATTTGGCACTTATGACATTTTCGTACCCAGTCCGCGGCGTCTTTCTTGACAGTCGGCCAATAGTACCCTTGTCGGAGAATCTTGTGGGATAACGCTTGTGCTCCTTGGTGGGTACCGCAGACACCTTCATGTACTTTTCGAAGAATACGTCGAGCGTCAGTCTCCGACAAGCATTTAAGCAATGGAGTAGAATATCTGCGCTTGTATAGTGTTTCTTGATCGATCGTGAAATGAGCGGCACGAACACGAAGGGTGTGAGCTTCTCTTTGGTCTTCAGGTACGGCCCCGGTCTGAAGGTAGTTGATGATTGGATCCATCCAAGTTGAATTTGGAATTGGCGAAGCAGCCTCGATCATAGCGACGTCGGTAGAGACTGTTGAAGAAGTCGTCTGTTGGGCGATTTGCACAAATTTGACATTATTCAAATCGGTTGAAGAGGCCAGGCGGGAGAGAGCATCTGCTTAAATGTTTGACGATCGAGGTATATGTTCCAACGTCATTTTGAATCGCGATAACTTCTTTTTGACAAGGTCAAAATAAGGCAGCAATCGTGGTTCCTTGACTTCATAAGTCCCAGTGATGTGACTGACTAATAACTGAGAGTCAGAAAATATGTGGAGGGAGGAAACATTCATGGATTCAGCAAAATGTAGACCTGATAAGAGAGCTTCATATTCAGCTTCATTGTTAGTAGCTGGGAAGGTGAATGCTACAGAGTAACAAAACACTTGTTGATCAGGACTGACTAGAACGATTCCTCCTCCAGGTCGTATAGCGGTGGATGATCCATCGATATAGAGGGTCCACGTCGGATCCTGAATCGATGTGCTAACAGATGGGGTGAACTCTGCTATGAAGTCGGATAACACCTGGGCTTTGATGGCAGTTCGTGGGCGATACTGAATGTCAAACTGTCCAAGCTCTATAGCCCATTTGATCATTCTTCCCGACGTGTCAGGTCGGTGGAGAACTTGTCGGAGAGGATATGATGTGAACACAACAACAGAATGTTCCAGAAAATATGGTCGCAACTTTCGTGCAGCGATGATCAAAGCAAAGGCTAACTTCTCCATATACGGATATCGCAATTCAGCGTCATGTAAAGCCTTACTAACATAATATATCGGGAACTGCTGGAGTCCATCTTGTCGTATAAGAACAGCGCTAACAGCAACATCACTTACTCCCAGATACAAATATAAAAGTTCGTCGGGGAGAGGTTTTTGCAACGTCGGTAGTTGTGAAAGAACTTCTTTGATGTTGTCAAAAGCACAATGACATTCATTGGTCCATTCAAACGGCTTCTTCTTTCTGATGGCGTCAAAGAAAGGCTTACAATAATCCGTCGACCTTGAAATGAATCGATTTAGAGCTGCTAGTCGACCCGTTAAAGCTTGAACTCCTTTAATAGACGTCGGAGGAGCCAAATCAAGTATGGCTTGAATCTTGGCGGGATTAGCTTCGATTCCTCTCTGGCTCACCATGTATCCTAGAAATTTTCCTGATCCAACCCCGAAGGTGCACTTCTTGGGATTAAGCACCATTAAATATTCTCGAAGGATGTCAAAGACTTCGGAAAGATGAGCAATATGATGGGAGGCCTGTTCTGATTTCACCAACATGTCGTCTACGTAAACTTCCATTGTATGACCGATCAGACGAGCGAACATCTTATTGACCAACCTTTGATACGTGGCCCCAGCATTCTTCAATCCAAAAGTCATCATGACATAACAGTAAAGACCTCGGGCCGAATAAAATGAAGTATGTTCGGCATCGTCGGGGTGCATGGGGATTTGATTGTAACCAGAATAGGCGTCCAAAAAGCTCATGAGCTGGTGTCCAGATGTAGCATCTACCATGTAATCGATATGTGGAATTGGATAGCTATCTTTCGGGCATGCTTGGTTCAGATCTGAGAAATCAATGCATAAGCGCCAAAGACCAGTAGCTTTCCTAACCAAAACAGGATTCGATATCCACGTCGGATATTTTGCTTCTTTAACGAACTTGTTATCTATAAGCTTGTTCACTTATTCTTCCAATGCTTTCTGACGATCTGGTCTGAATTTCTGACGTTTTTGTATGACGGGCTTGACGGTCTTATCCAAATTTAGCCGGTGACATGCTTTCTGCGGGTCTATCCCCTTCATATCTTCATGCTTCCAAGCGAACAAGTCAGAATTTGACCGAAGAGACTGAATCAAGTGCGAACGTGTGGGTTCTTGAAGACTAGCCCCAATGCGCAACGATTTGTCTTGAGTTAGTTCATCCACGTAAATAATTTCGACATCTTCAACCGACTCCGCTCGAACGTGATGACTCTTATCTTTATATTTCACCCTTGGATCTATATCTTCGTGCGCTCTCATATCCTCCGCAGAAAGAGGTTGTCTTTGGTCGAGGGCTCCATCCGAGATTTCAGGCAAATTCGACGTCTCAATGACATCGGTATCAGGGGCAGGGGAGATGTCGGTATTTGAAGCAGATTGATCTGTCATTGTTGCGTTAGGAAGGATTGGATCTTGCAACTCAATAGAGCCATCAGTCTCCTGTACCTCGCATACATGAAGATTTCGTGAAGTTGAGAGCAACGTCAGACTTCCGCCTCCCGCTGATCTCCATAGTGAGTGCCTTCCCCTTCAATGGTGGGGAACTTCAAGGCATAGTGGAAAATTTACACAGCAGCGCGGAGTTTGTAAAGAGCAGCTCGCCCTACGACAGCATTGTACTCATTTTGAACATCCAAGACTTTGAAGGTTTCCATAATGATCTTGGATTTTGGTCCAAAACCACCAAATCGTATGGGGAGTAATATTTCACCGATAGGACAAGAAATACTTCCGTTAAAACCTTGAATCTGATCATTACAGGGCCTAATGTCCGCCGGATCCAAACCTAATTTCTTGAACGTGCGAAACATCAAAATACTTGAATATGCTCTGGTATCAACCATAATTCGGTGTACAGGGATTCCTCCAATCGGAGCAGTGATAATGAGGGCGTCGGAATGAGGATGAGCGAACAGATTGGCATCTTCGATACTGAATGTGATAGGACAATTCCGTTTATTGATAGTGTCTCGAAGGTCAACGTTCATAACTTGCTTCCCGGCATTTTGCGCTTCCCTAGCATAGGCTTTAGCTTTTCGCTGAGACGTATCCAACTGCTTGGTATTAAAATTTCCTCGAGGTATACAGTAAGAAGGATTCAACGCGTCGTGTGTTTTGAGTTTTTTGCAGTTGTCGGTCGAAGTACCGACAAGGGTAGAAAACGTAAAAACTTCCTTATCGTTTGCACGGACTCTCTTCGGGTTAGCGGGTCGATTATCATCATCTTCTTCGTCTGAAAGATCCACGGGCCTTCCGTTCCGGCGATTGTCAAAATTTCTGAACTTTTGAAGTTGAGGCTGACCAATTAAGCGTAAAAGGGCCGATAAGAGGCCGAGGCATTCATCGGTATTGTGTTCCGGAGATTTATGGTACGCACAATATCGAGATTTGTCCAACTTGTCTTCAGAAGTTCTTACTGGTTTTGGATCAGGAATAATTCCCTTTCCTTTCAGTTCTTCAAAAATTGTGGCTGCTCCGGCCGAATAAACGGTTTGATAGCCCGTCTTCACGTTGTCGGCATATTGGTCTCGGGCAGCTCTGAATTCCGGAGTATTTTTATACCCTTTTGAGTAATTCTGACATTGCGGTTTTCCAAAATTCTTCTTGTTCTTCTTTTTTACATCTGACTCAACCTTATTCTCCTTCGCCGAGAAGTCGAAACTAGGAACCGACATCAACTCCTCAGCGATAATAAATTGTTGAGCTCGTACGAGGAAGTCTTGAAAGGTAGCCAGCTTGTTCTGACATAAGGTCCATCGAAAAATCGAATTGGGCTTTAACCCAGCATCTGCAGTTACTAGTAGGGTCTCAGGGTGACAAGGTTCCATGTTCTGAATTCGGTCGTTAAACTGAGATATGTAATCTTTAACGGTTTCATCATCCTTTTGCTCGATATTAGTGATCGATTCTTTTGGGAAAAGACAAACTTGAGCTCCAATGAAATGTGATCAAAAAGCTGCACGTAATTTTTGCCACTTCCAAATTGAGTGAGGCGGAAGAGTATAATACCACTTTTGTGCCCGTAGCCCCAGTGTGAGGGAAAACATCCGACATCTCAAAGCATCCAAAGCTCCGTGCAAATCCATCCACGACGTATAATGGCCTAAGTGCGCGTTTGGATCCGAGGTCCCATCATACATGCCAATTTGTGGGATTTTTACCTTGGCAGGGAGTGCCTCCGCAGTAAGTTCCGGAGCCAAAGGCGAATCGGCTTCAATGATAACATTTCCCGACGTCGAGACATGTCGGGGAGAATCTTCTTGTGACTTCTGTCGAGTCTCAATTTCAGCCAAACTTTTATGGAGAACCTCGATTTCTTCGGCACTATGTCTTGACATACGATTCTGTTCAATCCGACGTCGTAAATCTTCACGGTCACGAGGTACCGGTGAGATAGGTCTAGGTCGTGACGGAATTCTTTGATGATGAGCAGAGTGGCTTTCAGCAGTCATCTCTTGAACAGGAGGTTCCTCCGTGACCTGGTTGTTCGTTACTGGATTAGCAGTTATACGAGTTAACTCCTCTCGATGTGGAGAAGTATGGTGTGGTTGTGACGTAGCATGTGATGTCGCCGCATGTGTTTCAGGGTCATGATGAGTAATGTTTGGATGTTCTGTTGGATTCGTAGGAAACGGCGTTGATACAGGTATAGTACTCGAGTGTCTAGGCATGGCTCGAGCTATAAGAGAAGTTAAAACTTGAATAAACTCCGGGTTTTGAAGGAAGTTCGTGATATTCGTGACCGGAGGAGGTGGTGTTGAACGCCTTGGGCAAAGATTAGTCGATTGGCTCTGGCCAGGATGAGTCGTTTGATCTCAACCAGATTGTGACATGGTAACTTCAAGCGAGGAGATGGCTATAACAGCGAAAGTTAACCTCAAAAATGTTATGAGGCCCTCCTTCTAGCACCAAACTGTTGTTATGTGGTAATTAACAACGATAATATAATGCAAAACACGATGGGTATTCAAAAGAGAGAGATTCAGAACCTGATAATCGAAAAAGAAAGTTTATTGAATATTATTGTATATATTTTGTTGTCCTCCTTCTGGAGAGTCTATTTTTCCCTTATATATTAATTTACAACACTTATCAGCAATATAATCATTACATTAGAATAGTCAACGGCGGCTAATTGCCATTTATCTTGGTAGCGTGCCACTTGGCCAGGTGTAATGATGACTTGTGCTGAGTTGGCGCCGCCTTATGGTGTCGGTGTGGCAAGTCATAGATATCGGTTTGATTAGCCATAACCGATATGTCCTAACCGACATGTCGTACCCGACATGTCACAACCGATATGAGATGTCGGTTAGTCGATGAAGATGTCGGTTCTTGATCCATTTTCTCCCGATATGTGATTGCTTTGGGATCCTTGAAGATGTTCTCCTTTTGAATGAATATAATCTTCCACTTACTGAGCGTAAAAGCCTGATAAGTATCGCTAACTTGGTTTACCAAAAACCATATCAACAGTGTAACAGTCAGCCGGAGGATTGTCGTAAGTATCATCGTCACTAGGAGTGTAAAAAGACCCAGGTTGGCCAATCAAGTCGAAGTCGAGACGGGTAGTGCTCGAGGATGGCTTAGGCGACTTGGACGACTTGGATTTACGGGAGGAAGAAGGGACGGTCGAAGAGATAGGGGTGCGAGAGGACAAAGGAACGAAATCTTTAGGGTCACGAGCAGACAGCGGGATGTGATCTTGGAGATCGTCCTCATCCTCGATCTCTTCATCTTGACCAATAACTCGACGAACATGCTCGGTGGGCGGAGAAGGAGGACGGCTGGTAACTTTATCCTCTGGTTGTTCGACAAGGTAGGTGGAAGGAGAGACATCGGCGGCTGTGGGGCTATCGCTGATGACGGTAGGTTGAATGATGGAAATGAGCTCGGGTTGGAGAATCTCTTGAACGGAATCGCTTGATAAACTGGGAGCTGCAGAAGAGGAAGGAGGGGTCATGTCCTTTCCGCTGTACCGATCATTTTCACTCGAAGTGGCAGAATCTGAAGAAAAAAGAAAAGAAAAAAATAAATCAAAACAAAGAAAAGAAAGAGGAAGAAAGGCGAAGGGCGGCACAGCGGAAGGGCAAAAATCAGAGGCACAAGATGTGAGGAGAAGCAAGGGCAAGAAAGATATGAAATTTAAAATCTAATGAGAATATACCGAGAAAGGGTCGAGAAGACTTACTCATGGTGAACGACGGAGAACTTACAGAGAAGATGGAGAATTCGAGATTGCAGTTGCAAAGAGCTTTAATACAATGGAGTGCGAAAGTGAGGAAAGAAAAAAATTTCCTAAGGATTGGTACTTATACTGCAGAAAATGAGTGCAGCATATTTTTGGTCGTACGATTAAAAGATATCAAAGGCTGGGATGGAGGAAAAGGTGAAAAGACGCACTACTATGAGCCGTAGGATTAAAGCAGAAAATCCAATGGCAGGAGAAGGGTATACGTTGAGGTAGGTGCGAGATTCGAGATGCCGCGGATCACGGGGCCATCTAACCTCTAACAGACGAAAGGACGCGTATGAAAAGGCGAACAAGTGGCGAAATTCAGAATTCAAAACTCAAAATCGCAAAAGGGCGGTTGTAGCAAGATGAGGTCGAATAAGGGCAGAAAGTGAGCTAAATGGTCGAAATCAGGGAGGTAGAACCTCGGTGACCCAGATTAAGCCTACTCTTAGATCGAGTCATTCAAACTCGACCAGAGTGGGGGATCTAGATGATATGGGATATTATACACTGGACCGGTTCGTTAGGATAGCCGAATAAAATAGATCAGTGGCCTAGTCGAACTGAAATGAACATCCGCAATAAAGGAAAGTAGAGATGACGAAGAAGAGCGGGTTCAGCAGTATTGGTCGAGGAAAAACGGTCAGATGGGCGTGGTCACGGATTCGACCACCCTGTACCTCGGAGGTAGCTCGTCACTTGTCACAGATTTGGTCAAGCGTCGAAATATACAAGAGAATTCCCAACACGTGAAAGGAGGACACACGGCGCTCTACGAGTGGTCTAGGGGAAGCAACAAACTCTGACATTCTCTGACATATGCGACGCGTTTCTAACACCAAAGATAGTGGAGACGCGTGGTTGTACGGACGAGCAGAAGGGCAGACAGCCGAACTCGCCCAGGCCGTGTGTGTAGAACAGGTAGCTCGCTCCTATAACTTATATTTTCATCTCTCTCAAGATCTGACTTGAGCGTTGGAGGCTCTTCACCAGGAAACACCTCCGGTGTAAGAGTTGCGTGCAGGTTCAGCGTTCTACCGGCGAGGAAGGCAAGCTCGAAGCGGTTCTCGGTCGGTTGGGCGTTAGACTTGTATTATATATATTACACACAATATTTTATATAATAATAAGCAAATAATAACAATTAGACAACTAATATAAAAAATAATGATAATAATAATAATGACGTAAAATAATAATCTGAATAATCCCTAAATAAACGGGGCATCACATTAATTCACCAACTTGATTTCGCATGATTACTTGGATGAAAAAATTTTACCTAACTTGTTACGATTTTCTATAAATATTGGATAAAAAGTGAATATTTGTGAAAAAAAAATCAATATTATTGTTAGAACTTATAATATGTTGAAATATTTATCTTGGCCAAAATATTATCAACATGAATCACGGAAAATCAACCTTGTAATTTATTATAATGGATATCAATGAAATTATTGCAGATATTAATAATAAAATTATTTAAGGAAACAAATTTTTTTTTCATATCTGATCTGATTTATTTGAAAAAGTATATATAGAAGCAATTAATACATATATTTAAAAAGTTTTTAAAAAAAAGTATGCATTAAATGCTCCTATATTTTTTTACTACTATTTTTTGTAAATAGTTATTCTTAATATATATAGATATAAATTAAGTATTTAATCAAGCACCTACGCAGTACAGGGTATGGGTATGGTGTTTAATTACAATGTTTATGTTCATCCTAATCTATTAACAAAATTCATTTTTAGAAACACTTTCCCGCCAATTTCATTAATTATTGTCTAAAAATAGTAAATTAATAAAAATCAATGTAATTAATGTACATAATCTTTTTAGTCAAATATTTACTGTTATTGCTTTTATTAGTTGAATTTAAATTTTGGATGATTTAGTTTTATGGAAACAAATATGGGGGTATTATAGAAACTTTCGAAATCCTTAGTTTAAATATATAGACTTGATTGAGCAATTATAGAGAATTAATCGTTAATCGTTATATCTATATTATATTTCCTGTATTGAGTAAAACATAATAAATTAATACTTATGTTATTTTTCATACATCTTTTTGTTGGCATAGTAGAGTTGCAAGATTATCTTTTTCTTCGTAGACAAGATAACCAAATACAAAAATATAAATAACATTTATGTGCCGCTAAAAAATACTTTGGACAAAATGTAGAAGTGACTTTTAGAAATTACTTAATTAATATATTGTATAAAGTTGACAAAATTAATAAATCCAATTTTGGTATAAAGTTGATGATTTTATTTTAAGTATCTGATAGTCATTTTACCTTTTCGTAGAAAATGTGTTGTTAATAATAAATATTTGATTTTGTGGTATAAAGTGGATGATTTATTTTTGGTACAAAATGTTCGAATTTAAATAGTCTGAATTTTATTTGGAAGGGATAGAAGTATATTTCAAATTATTTAAAAAAAAATAAGAGCATTTACAATGTATAAATGTTGTTATCACATAAATTTTGACAAATGTCAATTGTTTATTATATGGATTGTGAACCACATAAGATATTTCTTAAGTTCACAACTTTAAATCTAAAAAATTATCTGCGTGCACAATGTGATCAAACATAATATTGTCAATTGGCAAAAACAAAAATAAAATATAAATAAAAAACAAAAAAATAATAATAATTAAATATTTTGAAAATGGTAATAATATTTCTCTCTCATCTCTCAATTGGTTGATTAGAATATAAAATGAAATATTGATGAACCACATTCTTATAAAATCAAGGTGATGTGATTCTTAAAATTTAGCATATTGGCATAATATTTTGCCATAATATATTGATGATAATTCGACAAATTAATATATTCCTCTAGAAAATTATAATGATTTTTGAACAAACATTGGTTAATAAAATTTAAAATTAGTAATTTAATTCTACAGATTAATTGATAATTTTGAACGATAAGGTAACTGACAACAAATCTAAAAAATGCGAGATATATATAATATATATATATATATATATATATATATATATATTATACATGAAATATATAAAAAAGTTTATTTGTGTAGTCCAAATTTAGGTTCTAAATTTAAAGATCAAATAAGTAGTTATTCATAACTTATGCTAATATAAACTTGGATGGAAATGAATTATTCACTTATTTATAGTTTAATAAATTATTCTACTACTTAAATTTTTTTATTTGGACAGGTCATACGAAAATAAATTCATTTTAGTTAATGAAACAATATAAGTTTTATAATTATATGTATTATTCACATAGATTTTTATATATATGATAAAATTTTACCAAAACATTTATTTTATTGACTCACATTGTAGTCAAATCGAAATTTTGAATAAAATTTTTTAAAATAATATTATTTTGAAATGAAAATAACATAATTTATTATTAGTTACTTGCATTGTATAGGTTGTGTACTAATTTTAAATATACATATTTTATGTAATTTTGTACAATTCAAATTTCGTATAACATTTTTAAAAATTAATAAAAGTAAATTGTATTACATATTGATTCAAATTGTATTACATTTAGAAAACCCAAGAGCACTTGGATGAGATAGCTTGGGTCTCTTCCAGCTTAACCAGTGGTCTCGAGTTCGAGTCCTGGGAATGCAGCAGTGTTAAAACTCTTGAGGGAGAGCTTTGCCGCCCTTGTGGTCCTACCCGGCTCGATTCCAGATTAGTCGATTCCCCTGTGGATCCGGAAACCGGAAGGTCCCTGTACCAAAAAAAAAAATTCTTAATTTATAAAATATTATTTAATGCATATTTTTTATTTATAAATACTAATAAATATTTCTTACTCGTGCATCGCACGAGATTCGTACTAGTTCTAATACTAAATCACTTTGGTTTCTAGTTTATGCTACGTTGTATAACCTATTTTACGAATTTATTTTTATTTAATTTCTTGTTTTTCTTTTAATTTTATTTGGTGTTGTCAATTTATAAATACTTAAACAATGCAAGTTAGTTTGAACTAAAATCAGAATCTAGTGAACAATCACATCATCAATTAATTGTATAAACAGATCAAATGATAAAAATAACATCGTTAGATTGCCAACTCCTACTGAAATTCATTTTAATTTTGAAGTCGTGAAATAGTAAAAATATCAATACAGTGAATATTGAACAAAGTAAATAGAATTTTATTATTTTTCTTAAACTCCTGTTTGATTTTGTTATATGTTGCTTCTCAAACTTGAAGTCTCAATCTGTTTTATATATCCAATGAAGTTATTTAATCTTAAAAATTATTTCTATCGTTATACTTTATTTATATTAAAACTAATACACACATACACTTAACATGAACGATGTATTGGAATTAATAGTAAGCTGTTATAAATTATTTTTTTTTTTTTTCGGTAAAATGGAGGAGGAAGGTTATAAATTATTTTCTAAACAACGTTCAACGTCACAATTCAATAATTTATTGGAATGTGGCATCAACTTTTCAACAATCCACATTAGCATACTCGAGTTGCTAAATTATAAAAGACATTGAGAAAAACTGTTAAATTAAACGAGCCTGACTTGAGTCTGCTCGAGTTCGAGGCCTTAACGAGGCGAGCTCGAGTTCATTTAAAGCTTGTTTAGTTAACAAGCCAAACTCGGCTCGATAAATCTCGTTAAGGCTCGAAAAGAGAATTTTATATATTTTTTTATATTTCGGCTCGTTTAGAATTCGAGCTCGAGCTCGAACACATTAAGTTCGAGCTCGGCTCGGCTAGTTGACAGCCCTCTGTCTAGGGGCAACAAGAACATCAAGAGGCGTGGCTTTCATATTGATCATCCCATGACTCCCCGTCATATCCACCTCCTCACCAGACACGGTCGACAGCTCAAACTCGTGCAACAAGTTAGCCAGCACCAAATTCATCATCTGCAGGCCAAAGTTTGCCCCCGGGCAGATCCTCCGGCCTGCACTGAATGGGATCAACTTGAAATCACGACCTTTCATATCCAAGTTCCCGTGTTCGCCAAGAAATCTCTCGGGCTTGAACTCCAGTTCGTCGGGTCCCCACACGTGTGGGTCCCGGTGCAGCTTCCACGCGTTCACCATCAGCCACGTCCCCTTGGGGATGTGGTAGCCACCAACATTGCAGTCCTCGGAGAACTCGCGTGTGCCAAGCAGGGGCCCCGCGGGGCATAACCGCAGGGTCTCTTTTGTGATGGCTTGGAGATACACTAGATTGCCAATGTCCGATTCGTCCACATGCCTTTCCTTTCCCACGTGTGTATCCAGCTCTTTCTGAGCCTTTTTCAATGCGTGAGGGTTGTTGAGTAGGAAGGAAAGGGCCCATATTAACATCACTGTGGTTGAGTCCGTCCCACCTATGATCAAAGCCTGCACTCCCAATTCAAGCAAATCACTATATGTATTTTTTTTTTCAATAAAAAAAAAAGTAGTTTACAGTTTAATTCTTTGGCACATTTATAATAAATAATTATTCTCCTTATACCAACTACAATTGCTTAACATATATGTTAGGATCATGGTACGTATACCTGTTTAACAATCAGGACACAGTACATGAAATTATTTTTCTTTAATGTCAGATATATCCAATAACTAGTTGATCAAATTTCATATCATCTTTTATGAATTTCCAACGTTATATATATGTGCGTACCTCGCAAGTGGCCTTGATGATGGTATCGTCATCATACTCAGTCTGAAACTCACCGCCTCTCATAACCGACAACATCACATCCATAAAATCCGGCGGCTTGTCATCATCACCATAATCCTTCTCCCGATGCTCCGCCAGCCATCCCCCGACCAGTCTCTCCATCTCCCTCGCGTTTTCCCTCATCCTTTTCTCGTGGCCCCCAATATCGAGCCACCGCAGACAAGGCAAAGCGTCGGCCAGCACAAACATCCCTGCCAGCTCAAAAAAACTCCTCATCATCTCCCGGCACCGCCTCATCTCCTCCGCATCCCCATTAATGCCCAACCTCTTGCCAGCCACCAGACTCAGCACCACGTTCAAGTTCAGCTCCCACAGCCACTTCTTCATGTCAACCAAAACCCAGCCCGACCCATCCTTCCTCTCTTCCCACCTACGGAACAGCTGGTTAACCGACAAGGCTGTCTCAAATGAGCGCACGTCTCGCTGCAGCTTGACCTGCCGGGCCGAGAGGAGCTCAGTAGAGACGAGCCTGCGCATGCGGCTCCAGTGCGGGCCATAGGGGGAGAATCCGAAGGTGGCGAAGCCGCGGCTGAGGTGGCAGGCAGCCCGAAGGACCGGGCGGGAGGATATGGCTGAGTCACAGGTGGTGAAGAGATGTTTGGCGAGCTCCCGGCTGCTGACGACCAGGGCCCGCCGCACGCCCAGACGGATTGTGAAGGCTGGGCCCAACTTGTCGGAAAGGGCGGCCAGCGTGATGTGGGGGAGCTCGGAGCCAGAGGACATAAGGTGGAGATGGCCGGTGAAGGGCCGGGCCCTGCTAGCTTCCGGTGGGGATTTCTGTGTGGCGATTTTTGGCCTTAAGTAGTAGAAGAGAAAAAGTGAGGCAACAATGGCTCCGAGGATGGAGAAGTGCAGCTCCATTGCAGAGTGATGTGTTAATCTAGTAATTTTTTATTTTTTTATATATTTTGCTTTTAGGAATATCGAGTATGTATATACAAATAGGATAATTGAGAATATGTGATTTTGAAAGAAACAAAAATAATTCGCGATTGTTGACTGTAATATATAACAGAGGCCCGGTTTTCTAGTAGGGGTGGGAAAAAATACCGGATAACCGGAGAACCGAACCGGATCGAACCGAAAATAACCGGTTCGGTTTGGTTATATAAAAAAAAAAAAAACAGTTTTTTCGATTCCGGTTATTTTATGCACAAACCGGTTTCGATTTTCGGTTCCTCTCCAAATGTTTGTGTATTAACCAAAAAACCGACTATATATATAAAATATACATGTTTTTATATGTTTTTATATATAAATCGTTTCCGGTTCTTGGTATATAATATTCGGTTTCTCATTTTTCATTTCGGTTCTCGATTTTTCATGATACATTTAGCACATGAGTTGCATTTTTTTGGTCAGTTATTAACTCAAAACCGGTTATTTCTGGGTTTTTTTTTTTCACAAGTCGGTTACCCAAAGAACCGAAAAGCTGAACCGTTATAACACGGTTCGGTTATTTTTCGGTTCCTGTAAATAATTGTGTAATAACCGAACCGGTTATTTTGGTTCGGTTCCGGTTCCGGTTCCTGAAAAATTCATTAGGAACCGGACCGGTCCCAGCCCTATTTTCTAGCCCCCTTTTTAAAGAAAAAAAAAATTAAATATAACCATATTTTCTAAAAGGATAAATTGCATTTTTGGTATCTGAACTAAAGTTTATTTCGCAATCAGTACTTGTTTTTAAACATTTGTATAATCAATATCCAAAATTTTATTCCGTTAGCAACGTTAGTACCCTACCGTCAGTTGTCCGTCAAAAGCCCGCTAGTTGTCACCGTTAGTTGTGAAAATTGAGGGAAATGAGTTTGGTTTTGGCATTTGATGTTGTCTATATATATCTTTTTTTTCTGCATAAAAAAATCGCAGCCTTCACAAATAATAAAAAAGAAAGAAAATGAGAAGTAATTCAAGCAGTAATTCGTGGACTAATTTTCCAGTCCAAACGTGTTATTGCGGTGAAGACCTCTCATTGAAGACATCTTGGACAAAAAACAATCCCAGAAGAAGATATTGGGCTTGCTCAAAATATGAGGTATTATTTTGGATATTTTTTTATCATATTCATAACAGAATTTATGATTATATTTTTCTCTCTTGCAGACAGTTAAATATTGTGGATTTTACAAGTGGATGGATACAAAAATGTGTGCTCGTTTCAAGCAAATAATACTCGGACTGCTTTCAAAATTAAACAAGCTTGAGGATGAGCTTAATGGTTTCATGATAAGAGAAGAGAAACTTGAAGCTGAACTGAGGAACGCCAATAGCAAGATAATGACAATGGAAAAACAACTAGCTCCATTGAAAAATGAAAAAAAAAAATTCATTGTAAAACTAGGAGTCTTTTTCTAGTTGTAGTAGTTGTGTCCTATGTACTTAAATAGCAAAAATTAGCATATGCAACATATGTAATCATCATTTTCCAAGTTTTCCGAGTCAATGGAATCATCATTTTCATTTCAGTTG